AAAAAAAAAAAAAAAAAAAAAAAAAAAAAAAAGATTTTTTTGTCAAAGGCGATCCAGTTCAGATTCAATGTTCAAGGGACATGCTTCTTAATATCAGATGAACTATACTGATAACTATACTGAGTTTTTAACTAAGTCCGCAGAGTTATTAGCGCGGCTCCTGAAGTGCACTTCCGCGGCTCTCCAAGCTGCATGAAAAAGACAGAGAGGGAAATGCGCTGGAGCACTGCTCACATTTAGGAAGAGATGCCTGCGATCTCCACTCCCGGGAATATTCCTGTCTAACGTGCTCAATTTGTAAAAAGATCAACGAACTCAAAATCCTTGCAAGCACAAAAAAGTACTTTTCACTGATTTTAGTTTACTGCTTCATGGAGACATGGCTGAACGAAGCGATTTCTGATGCTGTACTGGAATTACCAGGATTTCAGCTATACAGAGTGGATTGAGACCCTGATCTTTGCAATAAGAAAAAAGGAGGAGATGCTTCTGTATTAATAGCTGGTGCAAAGACATATCTGTCATCTCAAAAATAGGCTCCATCAATATGGAGGTAATGTTTCTCAAATGCAATCCTTCTTACTCACCCCGTGAATTTACATCTGTTATACTGGCTGAGATTTATATTCCCCCACTGGCCAGTACTTACTAGAAACAACAAGAATTAGCAGACATGGTCAAAGAGATTAAAAAAGCACAGCCTGATTTTGTAGTAATTCTAATGGGTGATTTCAACCATACAATTTTAAGTCTGGATCTCCTCTCATTCCACCAGCACATTAAATTTATCCCCACTAAAACCATCATCTGCTTCCCCAACAGCAAACGTTGGTTCAATGTGGAGCTCAGACAGCCGCGCAAGAAAAAAAGAAGAGGCTTTCATGACAGGAGAGAAGGAGGAAATCAAGAAGGCAAAACACAAATTTTAGCCAAATAGCAATACTCTGATAAGCTGAATCGATTCCTCCTCAATCAAACTACAAAAAAAGTCTCCCCCTGTACTGACCTCCTTCTTCCAAACCAGCTAAATGACTTCTACTGCAGATTTGAGAGACGGACCATCTGTCTGACATCCATCAGGTGCCTAATCTATCACCTACTTTCTGGCCCAGTCCTGTCACCCCCCCGTTCATCATCACAGAGCAAGAGATGAGAAGATTTAAAGAACAAAATGTAAAGAAAACAGCCAGCCCTGATTCTGTTGCACCTGGAACCCTCAAACACTGTGCTGATCCCACATCTTTATGGACTTATTCAACTGGTCATTGGATCTGAATACTGTTCTGACCTGCTTCAAGACTGTCATTGTCCCAGTTCTAAAAGAAACTGGCCTTAATGGCCTTAAAGATAACTGGCCTTAATGATTACAGACTAGTAGCCTTCACTTTTGTTATCCTGAAGACCTTGATGGGATTTCTCATGTTTCTCAGGTTTCTCATGTTTCTGCTTGGATCTCATCTTTCAGACATCTCATCATGGATGGCAGCTTATCAGGTGAAACGTAATCCTGGCAAAACTGAACTGCTGTTCATCTCAAGTGATTTATCCCCATGTCAGGATCTTGTCATCTCCTTGGACAGCTCTCAGATCTCATCTTCAGTCAATGCATGCAACCTTGGGGTAACCATGGACAATCAACTGTCCTTCTCTCACATTGCTAATCTGATTTCTTCTTTACAGTATCAGAAGGATTGATCCATTTCTATCCACACAGGCCACTCAGGTGCTTGTTCAGTCCCTTCATTTCGAGACTGGACCACTGCGACTCCCTCCGGGCAGGTCTGCCTCTGAGCACCATTCGACCTCTGCAACTGATCCAGAATGCAGCTGCACAACTTATTTTCAACCTTCCTAAGTTGTCCCACACCACCCCATTGCTACGCTCCCTCCACTTACCTCAAAGCACTTATCACATCCCGCAATGCACAACGCTCCCTCCGATCCTCTAGCACTGCTCGACTGCTCCCACCATCTTTCAAGGTAAAAGGAAGACCTGCATCAAGGCTCTTCTCTATTCTGTCACCTAGGTGGTGGAATGAACTTCCCCTAGATTTCCGAACAGCTGGGTCACTGGCAGTCTTCAAACAACAACTAAAGACCTACCTCTTTTAAAATTTGCACTTTTAAAAAATTCAGAGTTTTTAGACTCATAGAACTCTTAGTCTGTGACCTAGAGAGCCAGTATCAGGATGTATTTATTGATGGAGACTTTAAAACACTTCTGGAAGTTGCTCTGGATAAGGGCATCTGCCAAATGCCATAAATGCAAATGTAAATGTAAATGATAAGTGAAAGTACTACCAGGAGGTTCAACAGCTAGCCTTCTGGTGTAGCTGGAACAACCTTGAACTCAGCACTCTTAAAACCATAGAGACGGATATCTTCCCTTTCCCCACTCATCCTTAATAAGTCATCAGTGAGCACTGTCACCTCGTTTAAGTTTCTGGGAACCACAATTAAATGGGTTCTCAAATGTGAGATGCAACCATCAACAAGAAAGCTCAGCGAAGGATGCATTTCTTACAGCAGTGAGCAAAGTTCCCTCCGCCCCAAGCTATACTGGTGCAATTCTATCCTTATATCTACCATCACTATCTGCTTCCTCCAAAGAAAAGAGGAAGCTGCAACGCGCTATCAAGACTGCTGAGAAAATCATCGGCTGCAGTCTGTCATCACTTGAGGATCTGTACATCGCCAGGACAAAGAGGCGAGCAGGAAGGATCATCGGTGACATCTCCCACCCTGCTAATCACCTATTCCAAAAACTACCATCAGGAAAGCAATTCCATTCCCAGATAACCAAAACTGCACGCCATCGATACAGCTTCTTTCCACTGGCAGTTTCTGTTAGAAACCAGGCTGGCTAGGCAGCATTTGGTAATCTGCTTGATGTGGACTGAATCATTAGGTTGTTCTTGATGTGGACTGAATCATTAGGTTCTTCTTAATGTGGACTGAATCATTAGGATTTGTTTGATGTGGACTGAATCATTAGGTTCTGCTTTAGGTGGAATGAATCAGTAAGTTCTGCTTTAAGGGAACTGAATTCTTAGGTTCTGCTTTATGTGGACTGAATCAGTAAGTTCTTCTTTAGGTGAACTGAATCATGAGGTTCTGCTTGATATGGACTGAATCAATAGGTTCTGCTTAAAGTGGACTGAATCATTAAGTTCTGCTTGATGTGGACGGAAGCATAGTTTTGGTTCTGTGTGAAGCACTTCCATCTGGTGTGTAGTGAAATGTTTGGTTCTGCAGCTGAAGCGTGAAAAATACTTTGCTTTTATATAAATTAACATGATTAGTTCTTTTTGGTGTAGAGAGACACACTATGGTTCCTTTTGTTATGACTTTAAGCACTGGGTTCTTTTAGTGCTGAGTTTGTGATTCAATCTTTTTGGGCCTCATCATGAGATGAAAAAATGTCTTTCCATGCACATGAAACTCAGGACTTTTCAGTAGTTATGGCTGTAATTTGTGCTCTCAGCGTCAGTTCTGGATTATACTCTTCATGTGAGCAGAATGCACTTTATTGAGGACAGTAATAAAAGGGACATTCAGAGGACAGGACAAAGGGGACATTTATTCAAATTAAGGCTTTTGTAGGATTTTATTGGGAGCAGATGGCACCTGGGTCTGCCCGTTACCGCACACGGCCTCGCCTCGCACTCCGTCTGACAGCTGAGTGATTATGATTAAGGAGAGACCTTGGATTATTGCACAGCTTCCCATCTCTACCCTTCATCTCTTTTCCCATTTTTCCCTTTGTTCTCTCTGACTCTTTCTCCGTCTCCTTGTTTTCCCTTTGAGAAGTACGACTTTCTCCAACACATACATTCACATATTCTCCATCAAACTTTTCTCACTCGCTTTCTGTTTTTTACAGAAATTGGATTCTCTATAGACCGTGTGGAATATCTTGCTGTGCCTCAAAGCACCATGGGGCAGGAAGTGTCAACTCTCTCAGCATTCACTGGCTGCTAGCTGAAACACAAAGCTGCTCTTTTCTGTTCTACGAATCATCACCTCTAAAAGTAAAAAAAACGAAAGGAAACTTCAGTAGCAATCAGATCTGACCTAAGCTGCCCACTGCCATGCAAAGATGCCAGATTTTATTTTTAGTGTCACTTCTAGTACTACCGAAACTCTGAGACACCGAGGGATTTTTTTGTGAAAAAATCTTTGGCTGCCCAAAGAAAAAAGGAAATTTCTCAACAAGTTTTTTAGACATAGGGAAAAAAAAACAGCCAACAAAGTTGATTTATGGGAACTACGCTGCAACAAAACAGCTTATTTTGGATTATTGTTGTTTCTTTGAATGTTACAGACATTCAAAACACTGACTTTACAGCAGTTTAGCCCCGCCCACTCACTCTACAGCAGGTTAGT